AAGGAGATCATATCTCGTGCCAAAGGCTGGAGATGCAGCATTTGATCAACAGTGCACGACATTATTGAAGCCAGAGAAATTTCGGCTCAACGCAGCTATTGTACCAATTGATGCTGACTTCCTCGACCAGGTACGGGCCGCAACCATTGAAGATTCTCTAGCCCTTGATATCAAGCAATATGCTAGTGATGATAAATTCAAGATGGAAGGAGATCTAGTATATTTCGAAGAGCGGTTGTATATCCCAAAAGGGCCAGCACGACTCCGAGTTCTTCAATCTCGTCATGACTTTCCAGCTGCGGGACATTTTGGATTCAATAAGACCTTGGAACTTATTTCCCGCGATTTTTGGTGGCCTCAAATGTGGAAGGATGTGAAAGATTTTGTTGTATCTTGTGACATTTGTTCAAGATCCAAAAACCCTCGACATCAACCTTATGGACTTCTACAGCCATTGCCTATTCCGCGCCGACCATGGTCTTCGATTTCCATGGACTTTATTACGGATCTACTACCATCGAATTCATTTGACAGCATTTTTGTTGTCGTAGACCGGCTTACAAAGATGGCACATTTTGTCCCTTGCAAGAAGACATCGTCAAGCGAAGACACAGCAAGACTCTTTCTTGATAATGTGTATCGATATCATGGTCTACCAGATGATATTGTATCGGATCGAGGAACCCAGTTTGTGTCAAAGTTTTGGAAAACTCTTTTTGAGATATTGAAGGTGGATATCAAGCTTTCTTCGGCATTTCATCCTCAAATGGACGGCCAAACAGAACGGGTGAATCAAGTTTTAGAGTAATATTTACGTTGCACCATCAACTATCAACAAGATGATTGGGCCGCATATCTATCGCTAGCTGAGTTCGCATATAACAACACCCTTCATGCGTCAACTCAACAAACGCCATTCTTTTCCAATTATGGATACCATCCGAAGCTTGACTTATGGAGTTCGTCAACGATTAACAATCCGACAGCTAAAGGATTGGTGAAGGAGCTTTCGCAGCTTCAAACTACATTGAAGCTTCAATTGCAAACTGCCCAAGAATCTTACAAGGCGTCCGCGGATAAATTTCGGAATCAGGCACCTAAATTCACGATTGGAGACAAAGTTTGGCTGCTTCGACGAAATATTAAGACCAAGCGGCCATGTGACAAATTGGACTATCGGAGATTGGGACCATTTGTTATCCAGAAGCAGATCAATCCTGTAGCGTATCGTCTGGAGTTACCAACTACTATGAAGGTACATCCTGTCTTTCATGTTTCTTTGTTGGAGCCTTATCGAGAATCGTCTTTTCCTGGAAGAGTACAATGTCCACCACCTAGCATAGAAATAGAGAACCACGAAGAATACGAGGTGGAAAAGGTCCTGGATTCACAGCAAAGACGGGGTAAATTAGAATACTTTGTGCATTGGAGCGGTTACGATATTAATGAACGAACATGGGAGCCGGCCAAAAATCTCGCGAATGCGCCGCAAAAGGTATAGGAGTTTCATCGACGATATCCTGAGAAACCCAAGCCGGTTCAACGATAGCTTCTTACTGAAGCTTGCTCATCCAGAAAACAGAAAAGAGGAGAGAGCACCACCAAAATCCATAGTTGATGTAGTCATTCTCTCCAAGATAGCGTAGAACTTTGTTAGTAGCCCAAGTTTGTTCTTATTGTTTTAGCCTTTGAATATGGATAGCCAAGATACTATACTTGTCATGTCATCTCAAGCAACTAGCTCACGAAGACGACCGCGAGATAAAGAACCGCCTGCACCACGACGACGTCGAAGGATTCCTAGCAACAGATCGCTGGTGATTGTATTTGAGGTCGAGCCTGCCTACAATGGTCAGCCAGAAGGAGTGTTTGCAGGACAATTTCACAATGAAGACACGGAGGTTCATGCTTGGTCAGAAATTGAAGGGGTGGGCCAGTACCGTTGGCTTCAAGGACCATTGAATCACTTGCCTCGTGAACAACAATTGGAGTTCATAGCAGAGGTTATGCGACAGATCTTCATTTTCTTGCGTTGGTATTGACTAACGATAACATTGCTTCTCGGAGACCTCGAAGCTAAAGGAGGAGGTGATGTTAGAGACATAGTCCTTAGACCTTTCTAGAGACAAGTTTCTAGAACCTTCTAGAAAGAAGTCTCTAGAAACTTCCAGAAGATTCCTTGAATATACTCTTAGAATATTCTTCAAAGATTTTCTAAAGATTCTTTGAAGATTTTCTAAAGATTCCTTTAGAAGGCTCTATAAGATTCTTAGAATATTCTAGTAGATTCTAGGAAGTTACTTGAGAAGCTTCCTAGCTCTTGGGTAGTTGCTCGAGAAGCTTCATAGTTCTTGGGAAGCTTCTTGATGCGCTTCCTTAGAACCATAGGCCAGTAGTATATATAGGAGTCGAGGCTGAAGAGTTCTTCAGTCTCGACAACACATCTCTTGGAGTTCTAGCTCACCTTTCTGGTGTTGTTCTTGTACTCATCTGTTTAATCTAGTTCTGCCACTTCTTCTTGAACTTCTTGTTAGATTTCAAGTCTGTATTTTGTGTCCGTGACAATAGTATACCAATCTAAGATAAGGTAGCTCCTTAAAAGATAGTTGTAATATTAATTCATTGAGTCACTTGTAGTAAGCCATAGCTAAACTAGGGTTTGTTAATCTTGTCTTGATAAAGCTTTATACTGGTTACTCTCTTGCAATGAAAAAAAACTTATTAATGTCAATAATTTCATAATACTTGCTTTTAAAGGATCCAAAGATTCTACTGTGTTATATCTTTGTTATCTTCTTTTTATTTATTTATTTTAAATATATATTAAATATTAAAATTAATAATATACAATAATATTCAAATAGATTTATTTTAAGTAATAAAATTCTATTAAGTTTAAATCCATTGATGATTTTTTTTAGACCTTAAAAATATAATTGAAGCTTTTTTTAAAAAACAAATCTCTTGAAATTACTTAAATTGAAATTTTTTATACTATCTTAATTTTATGGTAGTCTAAAGAAAATCATCTTCATTGTAAGATAATATAATAATATTTTTTTTTTGAACACTTTAAGAGTAATGTTTCAAAATGGTTTTAAATATACAATATCAATTTTGGAATTTGATTTGATTTGATTTGATTTTTTTTTTTTTTTTTTTTTTTTTTTTGTTTGTTTGTTTGTTTGTTTGTTTGTTTGTTCAACTCATGTACACCAATAAAATTTATGTTTCAAGTTTTTTTAAAGAAAATACTATCTAATTAGTTTTGAAATTTTTTTAACAAAATGTTCATATTTTCATCCTAATATACTCCAAGAGAACAATGTCTTATCATTTGGACCTTAAGGAGGAAATCAACAACTTTTATGTTTATAATTAGTATTCTCTTTTTGATATTTTTTGTGCACTTCTTACACTTCAAACTATGTTATTTTTTTACAGCGAACTTCAAGAGGATTTAGTCTGCTATATATTGCAATTCAATTCATGAAATTGTCTTCAAATTTGTAACATTACTTCAAAGTTCCACTTTATCTCTTGTTGTTATATGAAAATCTTGAAGAAATGTACGTGTCGTTGACAGAGACCTCTTGTACAAATCATGGAATATTCTCTACCAAAAATTGACACATCATACAAATATCCTCTATAATTTCAACACTAAAAAATTGCATAATAATCATCCAACATCGCATAAGCAAAGCGATCTTTCCAAAACACACAAAAGTCCATCAGACATGCTGACGATCGTCAACAAACGGTGACGCCGCTCAAGTTCAATGAAATAGCAGCTCCATCACCATGACCTGGACACAAACTGAACAACTGCACAAAAGAAACGAACAATCGGTGATGAATGAAACTGCTCAATTATAAAGGGAAGTATCTTTAACAATTGGCAACATCCACGCCTCCTCGCAGACTGCACAGGATCAAGCTCTAAGAGGACCCATCTCGAAAGCCACGTAAAAACCTTGAGTTTTTTCATGCGATTTACATGCTCATTTTTTGCTCAAACAAAAGAGCATGGACAAACAACCAAAAAAATAAAATAAAATAAAATAAAATCAACACACTAAATTAATGAAAACTCTGTGAATGCTGCATTCAACCCAGTAGCTTTGTACACGTGGATTTCAGCCTCCACGTGTTCGATTCGATGGATAATATGTCAAGTAATTCAATGTAATCGTTTGTGGAGTTCGATCCACCGATCTTTGAGTTGGCCACTCCATGTCGCCGGACCAACAAGAGCTGCATGTGAACGAAGTGGCTGCGAAGCAGTGAAGCTTTGGATGAAACGTTTGGTGAAGAGCGCGTGGGTTTCGGAAATCCATCTGGTGTTTCAGTTGCAGCAAACATGTGAAGCGTGCTTCGGAGATTCGAGGGACTAGCCAGGATGCCGCGAAGATGTAAGCTACTGCGGTGGGCATTCATGCTTCGTTTCAGGAAAGAAAAAAATGGAAAATAAAATTTTGCTTGGGACCGCTTTTGACTGCAGCGCTGAAACGATGACTATGTTTAGGTGCCACCAAATGCCACCTCCCCATCTGTCGACGAATAGTGCGAGATGAGGCTGAGGTGTGTGTCTGCAGTAGGGCTTCCAAATCGATGACCGCGGACGAAATCTCGAATCTCCAGTAGGTGCTGTCATCCCCGGCCCTTTGATTGATCTCGCAGCCCCAAGTGTCGGAAATCTCAATATGTCGGGTCACCCTTCCCCAATGATCATCCTTTACAAGATTCGCACGACTGTATCAGTAGCCTGCATGGGCAGCAGAAAGTGTTTCTCTTTTGTTAATGCGAGGTGGCGATATTGTGCGATGCGGTTTTTAAAATAAAAAAAGAAAAAGAAAACACACTTCGGAGCGCCGCCTCTCCGTGATCCTTACTGAACGACTGAAACTTGCAAGGGAGTGGCGTGTCGTTCCCACATTCAGAATCCCCCCCCCCCCCCACAAGCATCCAGCACGGGTATCATATGAAACATTGCACACATTACGAATGTAAGATCTCGTGAAAGTTGTTTTGGTGAAGCATGAAAGACATGCTTAGTATTGAGGACCGTTCTTTGAATTAAAATACAGTGAAAAATTCGTAGCCAGATTCTTTCTTCCACATGATTGTTGCAACACTTGGCCACCTCGTTGCATTTGGACATTCATAAATTTCTGCGACTGAAGGAGCTTGGAACGCAGAAGTCCATCGCTTGAGACAATCAGTCAGCCCGCACGGTGTTGGTGCCGCTTGTGTGTGTGAGCAGCTGATTTCGAACCTGACTTGTACGCCGTGCTGCTGGTGCTTAGCTCATTACTGGTGAGTTGCTTAAATCCTCAGTTTCTGTCATCACGACTGTTGCTTGAGCACTTAAGACACATGGAAACGGTATGTGATTCGGTTGAAGTCATGTAGACTGGGTTTTGCGAATTGCTTCGTTGGTTCCACCACACTATCCTGTGCAACGTGATCACTGATCGAATTTTCTGACTGTAGTTAACATGCTGTCCTGGTTGGAGTATGTGGTGACAGGTCTGTCAACTCGGAAGCTTCACGTTGTGGAGCTGATTAGCGATGGAGCTGAGAGGTTTGCCTCATGTTGTAGTGGTGCCTAACGGTGCAGCTGGGCATGCCATTCCGTTCCTGGAATTCATCAAGCGGATGGCAGCAACGGGGATTGTGACGACTGTTGTGGCCTCAGACAAGCACATCCTGGAGCTCGAGATCTTACTTGGGTCGCGGGATTTGACTTGTCAAGGAGTTCCGCTGAGACTTCTGGGATTGCAAGATCACATGACACACCTTTCGCACGCGAACTGGACGGCAACGATTTCAAACTTGAGTTTGAAAAAGCTGCAAATAATCCGGCTCCTGGAGGAGGCAGTCAGGGATGTCGGATCGCCGCAGTCGTTGCAGCTACGGGGTGTGCAGCCCGCGAACCCCCCTCAATGTATCGTGCACGACATGTTCACCGAATGGGCCCAAGAAGCAGCGGAAGCGCTCCACATTGAGAAGCACTTGTTGTATGTGTCCCCAGCGTGTTCGCTCTCATGCGATTTAGAGGTATGATCCATACATCAGCTTCTGCCGGCCAACCGCAACAGCTATTGTGCCACAATCGTAGAAATAAAGTTGCCAGTCAATGGCTCTTAATAGCATGAAAGAGCCATTGACTGTGCAACCCTGTTGCAAAGAAAACCGTCTCTGCAACCTCTGAGTTCCAGTTCGAGATGTTGACACAGCTAACAGAGTTTTCATGTGCACCTGGTTGCAGTCGAACCGCTTGTTTCAAGAATGTCGATTTCCAATCACTCGAGATACTCGCGATGCGATTATTTCAGGAATCCCCGGTGTCCCATCCATCCCCGCACTGGAATACCCGAGAGTGTTTTTGGATGCCTCCTCATCTAAGTGGATGCGGTCGTGTCACTTGAGCTTTCGACGAGCAGACGCGATTTTGCTCAACACTTTTTATGATCTGGAGAGACCAGTGCTCGATGCCTTGCGCCACGAAGTCATGGGTTCTTCGGATATTCAGGTGAGATGCACTATCCCATAATTTGTCGCTAAGTTTGCACGAACACACTACGTTTTTTTGTTTTATCGAAGGAGAGAGAGAGAGAGACCTCGAGGAAGACGCTTCACACACACACACACACACACACTCGCAGCATGTTTGTTGAAATCCTCCTCTGTTGTTGTTGTTGTTGTTGTGCAGGCAAAGTGTATTCTCGACATCGGACCGTTGCTTCCCGAGTCTCACTTCACCGATGCCACACCCGAGGAGATCGTGCAAGAGAGAGATCCGTGTATCTCCTGGCTCAACACGCGGCCTGCAAAATCAGTGCTCTACGTCAGCTTCGGCAGTGCTGCGAGCCATTCAGCTTCACAACTGGTGGACCTGGCGCTGGGCTTGGAGGCCAGCGAGTGCTCATTCCTGTGGATTGTGCGACCTCCAGATGCAATTGACAGGGCCGCAACTCTCAATGCCCTTGAGCGCGTGGCAGAGTATCTTCCACCTGGGTTCGAAGGACGCGTTAAGGACCGAGGAATGTGCTACTCTGGGTGGGCTCCACAAATGCGTATTCTCAAGCATCCGGCAATTGGAGGCTTTTTAAGCCATTGCGGGTGGAATTCGACTCTGGAGACCGTGGCCGCTGGAGTGCCTGTGCTTGCATGGCCGATCAAAGCTGAGCAGCATCTCATTCGCAGGTTCTCTCTCTCTCTCTCTCTCTCTCTCTCTCTGGTTTCGTTGCACCCACATCAGATAGAAGTCACTGAGGTTTCGTTCCTGTACAGACGTGACCGTGTGTTGTTTGAAATCGCCGGGAGTTGATTCAATCTTTCACAGGAGTTGTAGATGATTTTTAGCCCTTGCTTGATCTGATCATTGTGAATGTGGAGGAATTTTTCAGATTTCTGGTCGACACGTTGAGAATAGCGGTTGAGTTGAAGGGAGACAACTATGCAGAGTTGGAGCTGGAGGGTGATGGGTTGAGACCCCCATTGCGCGTCTCGAAAGAGGAGATAGCGAATAAGATTCGATGTCTCATGGTAGAGGAAGAAAGCCAACTACTTCAACTAAACATACAAAAACTGATGGTGAAATTCAAAGAAGCAGGAGCACTGGGAGGCTCCTCACGACTCAACTTCGAAGCTTATGTCAGTCTTCTGCACGCCAATCACGATTCAGCAGCACAGCTCAAAGAGATGGAGCACAAATCGGAAATGCGAGATATATTTTCGACAGGGGAACGCCCGCTAGCTATTGCTACTCTCGGATAAAAAGATCGATCAAAATCATTCAGTGATTTGCTTTGCAGTATGAGCTGGTGATGACCCTTGTTAACATTACATAAGTGTGAGTGGAAACCGTGGTGTACAAGAAGAGTGGCTTTTGTAGACCGTGTTTTGCCAACCGGGTTTATAATCTAGACAATTTCTTGGCATCGGATAAACTTTCATTGGCCTCCAGAAATGTAAATGAGTGTCCGTCTAGCCAACAATAAGGCACTCACTAAGGTCCTGTGCGAATAGAAATTTGCCGAGAAACATTGATTCTTAGGGTAGAAGCAGCATCTCCTCATGTTGCATCTTCAATGTAAGTAATGTACATAAATATAAAGCCGATTTCCAATCGTGTTAATTTCTTTTGTATATCGCGATTGGGTGGGAGTGGCCCTATCACTTGTATATTTATTCCCTCTCCAGTGTGTTGCGTTGAAAAAGCTAGAATTGATACCCCTTTTTTCTTGGTCATTGTGCTTTCCTTGGGTATACTGTTAGTGGTCTGAACTCTTTTGCGACGACGGTAAACATGGTTCAGAATTAACGCAGAGTGGGACAGCTGTGATTCAATGGGTGCACAAGATGGAAAAGAATCCGGCCACTTGTGAAGCAGCAGTACCCGTCGCACACATTTTCTCCTGAAGACTCTCAAGAATATTCTATTCCTGTGGTGAGTGGAATGTCATAGATCCACTTAACCCGAGTTTTGTATTAACTAAATGGGAGGTAGACATTTTGTGTTGTCCCCCGATTATTTGTTAGCTTCTTCACTCGCTCTTGATTGCTGATGAGCCGCAACACGCCTGGCTTGTAGACAACATGGTCTTTCAACTCCCAACTTAACACAAAGGAGTGTTGGAAGATAATTGGTTCACCTTAGCTAAACCTAGATTTAAAAAAAAAACAGACAGTATCGGGTTAGAATCCAATTCCATAGGTTACATAATTATAAAAAATTCTTAGTTCATCAAGATTACCCTCACTTAATTAAGTCAATTTTTAATAACTTTTTGTCTGAAAGAGTTAATACAATCAAGCGTCCAAAAAAAAGTTTAAAATGAAGTCTAAAGCAAAACATTATTTTAAAGATAACTTGAGAGGTGACCTTGCGAACTGCTACTTAGCAGTTGCCAATGCTTGAGAGATGGTCTGCACAGATCATGCACATGTGAGCTGGAAACAGGAATCTAATGCTAACAACGGCTTAAGGTGCAAGAGAAGCCAGAAGAGCACCAACAATACCTGTTCTAAAAAAGAGGGACTTCCACATCTGCACTCAGCACAGAAACTCTGCCAGCAATAACATTGGCATGTGTTTATATTATTATGCTGCAATACAAAGACATCGCACAGCAGAAATGCCTTCAATCCAAATCCTGAGGGCACATTTCTTATCAAGAGATTGTGTGGATGCAACCCGAAATCCATCCAAATCCCTAGAAATAGTCAACAACGCATAGCATTTGCAACTTCAATTCCCTGTCAGAAATCACACTGGGAAAGCAAGTTTTTTCATGGAAACATTGTTGAACTTGGAGACAGTGCATTGGATAACAAGACATACCCCCTGTCCATAATCTCATTAAGGCAGAGTAGGACAAGGTCCGGGTTATCCAGCACACTCTTCGACTCGACATGTCGGCAGCAGAGACCATTCAGCTGTTAAAACACGCTGAAATCCCAAGTATTAGATTTCTCTTACTTGATGAAAATTTACTGGAGCTGAAGAGTAGTGAGAAGCGTGATTTGTCATGAAGATCTTCTGTGAGATGATGAATGCCAATTGAGGGCGACCAAATCTCAAGCAACAATCCGAGAAGCAAACCAACGGCGTCTAAGAATCCCTGCAGGACTGTGGCAACGACAAGTTCGTCCTCATCTTCACCTATTGTGACATAAAAATGTAGGTCTGAGCTTAACTTGTAAACCTCGACATATCCATCATATGTTCGACCTCGGTGTTAAACATTAGCATCACATCAGTGGATGCAGTACTTGTGCAGCTAGCTCTCCACAAACCGAATATGATACTTGATATCATCGATGAAACCAGATGATTCACTGGTAGATTTCACACCGAATCGTTGCATATGGTTTATTAGAATAATTGTACAGAATATTCCAGTGCCTTCATTAATGCTTCGCCTAAATTTAATGAGTCGAACTAGATGGTTGCGTCGTCAGGAGTTGGTTACAAATTCTATGAAGCCCAGTCCTTCATATTTGTCTGGATGCGATATGCTGAAGAAATAACATTCCACATGGACCTTCAGAGCGGACATTCGTACGTTGAGTTTTTGAGAACACGTATATTTCGTCAGCTAGTTTATCAGAAAAACTTGAGGCAGTCAGTGGAGAATACTTGACAGCTGTGCGCTTTCCCTCGGAATCTAGAGGCAGCACGATCTTAATCAAAGGAGTAGAAAACCGCACCAAAACATGGCAATGCTGTGACCTGATAAACGAAAACCTAGTCTCTATCTCCTGACTCAAGCTCCGTAAAAAAGTCATAACCTACATGCATGTTCGAAAACAAGAATTACTGACGCAACTTGCAAAGACACTTGCACAACGACAACAACAACAACAACAACAACAACAACAATCTGCCTCAATTTTAAATTGTTTTAGAAAAATGAAAGAAAACCCAAAGCAGTCATATCCATTCTGAAATGATCGATCCAACCGCTTCCGCCAAACCCCACGTTCAGAGCCGTCTTCTCCCGGGTCTAAGCCAGGCTCACTCCTACAACTAATACAAGGTCAACTTTGATTTCAACAGGTAACCTGTAAATCAAACAACACAAGTGACTAAGATATGGCGGACATGAAGCTCCAGATTAATGTAACTGGACAGCGGAAGGCTTGGTTCCCGTTCGCAACGAACGACCCAAAAGGAGGGAGACGAAGTGCGGAGCTGGAAGACGGTGACAACGTCCATCAGACGGAGGAGAATGTGGGAAGGAGAGGCATCAAAGGAATGAATGAACGACAAAGTTCAAAAAGTCTAAATGGAGCCACTGGCAGTCTCCGAAGACAGATGCCACAATTTGTAAATCGTAAATTTATTACTGCTGGTCTAAATCCACACGTCGTAGTGTGTGAGGAAGACGATGCTCGCAGCGAGTATGCATACCAATCCGCTCATTCCATGTCTTTCGAAAATTAGATCACATTGTGAGGAGTACGTGTGTGGAGTGGCGATTGTGATAACCAATTAAACATGGACAAGCTCTCGCTGACTCTGCAACTGAAAGAAGAAAGTTAGCTTACAAGTTCTTTTTTAGGGTTAAGGGATTCATTAGCACACTTGCTACTGCCTGAGAATCTATGGTTGGAATGTAGGTGCCGCAATTTATGTGCCCTTTCAATCAATTTTAGTGTAATGTTTTCAGGCGTTACATGTTTGAGGCCTCGTTTGCTTCCTTTTTTTTTGTTTTTTTGTTCTAGTTTTTTGTGAAAGTTTGATGCAAACATGATGTGGTACCACGGCTTGGGTCTGGGTTTTACGGAATTGACGGTGATGCAGTGAGACTGGGGTTGGGAATTTCATGGAGCTTTTGTATGGACTTATTCATGTGGGGTTTCTCTTGGCAGCCTTGCGACAATTTGAGGGAGTGCTCTGCAATGGAGCGGAGTGCGCACATTTGGGTCCCTTTTGTATGGTCTTATTCATTGAGTTGAATGTTTCAAGTGAGTTAGATTCGGCCTGGTTCGAAGGTGGTACGGAGTCTTGAGAATGTCAGATTGGGGAGCTGAGGCTGTGTTTAACGTCACAAGTAGTCTGAGCCTGGGATTAAACGTTAACTCGAGGTGGGATCGAAGAAGATGGTTGAGAAAAGTATGTGACAAAATCTCTCTCTCTCCTTTTTTAGGGTTCTAGTAGCTGCTCGTCTTTACGCGATTCTCTTGCACTGGAATTTGCGTATTGAATCGCTTCTAATGTCTTCTTTCATTGTGCTTCTCGATTTTTAAAATTTTCTGGTATTTAAGTGCTAAGCTATGAAGCGACGGAGTGTTGTGAGGGATTTATATCGAGGGTAGATAGAAACCATGAGAGCATTACAGTCGCAGTCCAATAACGTGGTAAGTTTGTTCTGAAATGGAAAACATGTCCTGTTTTTCCCATTTGTCAAGCGCTTGTTGGCGGCTTGTGGAGTTTTGTATTGATTTTCGACAGATATGAATGGCTCAAAAACTGATAATATGGTATAATGTGTGTGTTGAGGGATTCAGCAAACGGCACAACTTGTTGGGGAAGGCGTTATGCAGCCATCATCTTTTTCCCTGGCTCAGATCATGTGTGGATGAAATTGGAACCACGTTGTAATGCAGTTCATGTCGATGAGAGGCTCATGATGGGGATTTGCTCAGGATTGTAGCGTGCAATTTTCTCCTGCCGGTTTATCAGACTTGATATCTGTACAAAATGAAATCCGGACTGCGGCGAAAGGTAGTAAGGAGGGAACATGAATCATCGACTAGGAGATCGCGCTTTGAGAGTTCCGATGGGCGGTGGAGTATCCTCACCGATGACTTGCTGGAGATAGTATTCACGCATATACCCTTGCACGACCTTCTCGTAATGAGATCTGTCTGCAAACGTTGGCAACGCATCACTTGCACAGCCTCCTTCATCAGCCTCTACTCTCGTACCGGTCCCAAAAGCCAGTGGTTTCTCATGTTCCCCGAAGGTGAATCACAACGATACGCGGCTTTCAATCCCCAGTTGGACTCATGGCACGAGTTGGATTGCAATTTCCTCCCTGTCAATGTTGTTTGCGTGGCAGCTGCGGGGGGACTTCTCTGTTACGCTCATACTTCTCTCCATAACCAACACACCTCCACACAGGATTGGAAATGTCTCTTTGTTTGCAACCCCATTACGAGGACCTTCAGAAAACTCCCCTACTCAACAAAACAACGTCTAAAAAAGCGTAGTGCGCAGATGGTCGTTGAACAAGGCACTGGCGCTTACAAGGTCATCGTGGCAATAGGCATCAACAGCATGCTGTTGGGCTATGATTCACTGGAGGTTTACGATTCAAGGACGAATTCCTGGTCAGTAAAAAACCTTATCCCAGAAGGCTACTGCGAACCATGGGTTACATATAACTCCACTTTCTTCGAAGGCTCCGTTTACTTCAGTCTCACCAAGGATGGTTACCTGGGTTCCTACACTGTCGACCGCCTGGAGTGGAGCATGACATCGCAAAACATCTTCCCAACGTACACCAAACCCAGGCCCACGCAGCTGTTCGTCTCCCAAGGCCGGCTGTGCTGCTTGGTTGGCAGAGAAGAAAGATGTGGGAATGCGCGTGTGCTGAGCTTGATGATTTTAGAGTTCGACAAGAGCAAGCTCCCAGGCTGGTCACTCGTGTCCAGAGTGCCGCCTTTGTTTGGGGAGTATCCCGGAGCTGTGAGAGCCATGGGCCACATCGACTCCAGCTTGATCTGCGTCACGTCCACCAGGTGCCCTCGCGTGTTACTTTTCAACAGATCAGAGAATTCCTGGACGCGCATTAGCAACTTTCCAGATTATGGGCACCTTCCCAAGTGTGGCCCTAATTCAGCTTTTCCTTTCGAACCCAGGTTAGACAGACTAGTGTAAATACATTTGCTGCATTCTTACATACAATTGTTCTTCATGATAGTCTCTAATAGACTTGTACAAAATACTAGTCTCACACGGTTGTTGCAGAAGCTGCTCCGTATCCGTCGATACCAATTCGAGCTTTTGACAACGTCAATGGACCGTCTGTGGACACCCACTTGATGTTGCATTGGTAATTCAATGTTCTTACATGCCAACGTTGTCTAGAAGATCTCTCACAAAAAGCTTGTATAACTTCGTCATCAAAATCTTTGTATTGCAGGCTCCTAGCATCTTTGTATTGGAAACTTTAGAGATGACTGAAACAATTTTAATAATTTAGCTCTTAGCCAAGGTGTTCCCTGTCCTTTCAACTTCTGAAATATAGAATGGAATTAAAACTGGGGACCTTCCAGATGGTGCTAAATGAACTGATAAGTATTCTAAATACCAAGGGCTACAGCTGTTCCTCAAATGAATTTTTTTGATATGAATTGAACCAGAGGATACTGTAGAGGTCTGTGAAATTTCCTTTAATTGCTTCATAACTCAAACAATTAATTACCCATTTCACCTTCACAATAGATTATGTAGCCATTTTGTGCAGGCAATATTTTTGGAATTCAACATTTCATCATATTAAATAATCGGTTCCATCTTTTAAACAGTTTCAAGAGCTTGCCTCTGGGGCGCTCAATCACTTGTGAGCAACTACCCATGAAACCTTAGATATGCTCTTGACATTTATAATAATCTTTCAGTTGATTATTTTTTCAACTTACAGCCTCAAGTTACAAGGCATAAAATTTAGAGATTTTTTTCCAAAATTTATGTCACAACCAAAAAATGTAATGGAGGATGGAAATTTCAGTATGATGTTGTAATCATTTTCAATTATTAAGGTTTAATGACCAAAAAATTTACACCTTCAAGCCATGGAGGTTGGTTTTCTTTCTTCTAACTTAACACTTTCTAATTTGAAAATGGATATTAATTTTGTACACTTCAAAGAATAATTTCTATTTCACACAAAGATACAAATTCAATATCCACATACAAAACATGTTTCCAAATTAAAGTTTTAGATGCATAAATGTAAAAATTCTTTGTTATAGGTATTCTTTTATATTTTAATAGTTGTTAAGGCTTTTTGTGGTATATATTTTATAATTGTGGTAGTATGTGAAATTCAAAGAAATATGCATAAATCTTTACATGATATATTTGATACATAAAAATAAAAATTGCAACTTTTTTCTTTTGTGATATATATATATAGAAAGAGATATTATATATATATATATATATATATATATCAAGAAATGTTAAATTGATCCATGGTTTTACTAAATTGATCCACCAATCCTATCCATTAAGAAAAACAAATGACTTCTAGATTCATTTCTCTACTATTAGATCTGCAACCAAAAAAACTAACAACATTTATCATTACTCTAATCTTCATCACGGTTCCAATTATGGTTGCTGCATGTTTTTCTTGATTACAGTAGAAAATCATACTTTTTTATTTAGAAAAAAGTATGAAATAGATCCCAAATCAATCTTTTCACCACCTCTCATGTCCCTCTTGCATCATGCATTGTCCTTGGCTTCTGCTATGTCTTGCTTTTTTTGTCTTTGCTTTATATTGTTGTACCTTGCATAATACACTAAATTTACTTCTCGTTATTCCACTCTCTCTCTCTACCTTTCTCAACCACATGGATGCATCTTTTATATCTAAAGATATATTAATCGGCTTTTGGTACATGTTCAATGTCTATCTAGATGAATAACATGCACCCTATTCTTTATGAACCAAAGTTGCTTTGTATCTTTATCAACAAAGAAGGTCTTTTTTAGGTGCATGCATACATGAAAAGTTTAAGCATTGGCTTTGTTTGGATGAAAGGTGCAAGGCAAAGTGCCAAGCACTATTAAGAGGTTGCAAGTTGTAGCTTTAGTTATTGAAGGCTTTTGAATTATGTATTAATGAAACAACTAAGAGCAATCATATTTCGAGGTATGTTTCAACTAAGGTAGTTGTATTATTACTTTTGTTGTAGTTGGAAGTATTTGTCTTTTTATATTTAAAAAATATAAATAATGGTTGGAGTCAAAATTTTTTGTTGCACGAAAACTCAATTATTGCATGCTAGGATGCTACAAAATATGATCTTTACTTCAAGATTTGGAAATTTATCTTTTTGGTACAAGAGTAGATCTATTGACATTTTTTCTATTATAGAAGGTTTCGGTTGAATCCCTCAGTGTATAGTATCGGTCAATGAGATACAAGAATATTACAAAAGTAAATTGATTTCATGGTTTTAAGATAGAGAGAATTTGACTTTTTTTTCAAGTTAAGCTTTGGATTGAGGTTTACACTTCTCTATGTTTTTGATGAGAAGAAGTGTCAATAATTTTGATATAGTTGTTAGACACTACTTGTATAAATATATATTCTTTTTCCTTTCGGATTCCTTTTCCCTTTCCATACTTATTATTCCATCAACTTGTACTTATTTCTCCACTAGCATGGTTACAATATCTCTGTAATTCACTTCTAACTAAAGCTTGATAGTTAATTAGAGTTTAATAGTTTATGGTTTTGGAAATTTAGAAATTTGTAATATAAAGCTGCATTTGAAGATAATATATAAGTTTATGCATGCAAGTAGGTCCAAATCTGCCAAATACATGTTTAATATTTGAATGGAAGAATTTGTAAATTTTTGTAAGAGATGGAAGAAGATATCTTGTACAATCATGATCATGAACACCCTCACATTGTTCAACAACCTCATTTCTTACCATCCACATAATAACTATTTTCCTTATTAAATTAGCATATGTACATAATTATTATATATTTGATTATATCTATGATATAATTATAGATTGTTATAAAGAAACAATCATTTGAGTAGGATAAGTGTGCATATTGTGATTGCATCTTTTGCAATTTTTGCAAAGTCTAACATTTGTTGCGGCTTTAATAGTTTTAAACTGTAAAGGTGTATATTGGATAGAGAATTCTATACTAAATTGTCTTGAATATTTAATTGCTTCACATAGTCTGCCTTTGGTCGATTGAGTGTTGGATTTTTCAACCTCACAATTGTCAATGCAAGCTCCAAAAATTGTGCATTTATTCTTTCTTATTAGTGATGAAGAGAAGGAGGAGGAGGGTGGGAGGAGGTGGGAATATTAATTCAAGTATTTAATCAATATCATTGAAGATAGAGTGAAGATCTTCAAAAGATGCAAATTGATTTTGCATTGGTAGCGAAGGCATTAAAACAACAATATTCAATAAATAATATTGAAGATAAAAATCTTCATTTGTCAAAATACTTCAATGATGTAACATACTTTGAGTTTTATGCTTATACAGAATTCTCAATGTCTTTGTCAACATGCTTGTGCAAAAAGAATTGTTCACATCAAATGGCTCTTTTGCACATTTAAACTACTCAAAGACTAGATTTAGTACATATATGGATACTTTTTTTACAACATTTGTGAAAAAACCTATGACATGTTGATAATATAAATAAGTTTTTTTTCAAAACATTTTTGTAGGCTAATTTTTCTTGCTGTATTGTCAAAAAAGCAAGAGAGACAAATTTATACTTCTTATTGATATATACTAAAAACTTTTAGATACAATTTAAGAAATAAATGTTGACCCTCAACTTAGAATGTAGTTACAATTCTAAGATGAAGATAATTATTTGACTAAGCTTTAACAAAATGTATTTTGTGTGGTATCCAAGTGTTTTGTAAGTACTTAACAATCGCATGAGAAATTGTGTAAGTATATTTGGTGGTAAGGACAGACCATTCCATATTGTAAAGCACCTTAGAAGGAATATTGATGACACATGTTCAATTTGTAAGAAATAAAGACCAACCTATTTTCAACTTGGAGGCAAAATACTTCTTGCAGTTGGCTAAGATTTTTTTTGAATGTGCTATATGTAGAGTAAGACAAAAAAAAAAGGAGAAAGATATTTCTAATTGCATTTATTAGTGCCAAATCTCAATCAGTACTAATATAGATAGGTCAAATATTTCAATATGATTGGATAAGTTGAATCAAGATCTAATAAAAGAAAAAAAAATTGTAGAAAAAAATAATATCAACTATAAAACAAGTATTAATACTAGTTATTTCTACTACATGCAATATAGACATCTTAAATTAATTTGTTTTATATGTAAAATTCGTAACAATAGAAGAAGAATATTTTTTTGTTAATTCTACATATGTAATATGTATAAATATAAATATATATATATATATATATATACCTTATTTTTATCATCATATTAACAAGTAATTTAATACTTACAATCAAAGATGGTTTTTATAAGTGAAACAATGGATAAATGACCATCAAAGGCAATTTGATGCAATTGTTGGTTCTCATTATAAATAATACATGCAATAAATTAACTTTTAGGATTCCTCTCACATAGAGCACTCATAATATTTTTTAGTGGCACTCCTATGGGAAGCATCTGAGCCATCATCTCCCTCTCTACTACTTGAAGTCATGCAATTAAACGACATATAAGAGATGTTGAAGGAACATGGTTATAGTGACTAATTTGTCTTGCTAAGTTCCATTATGTACTACCTTACAAACAATGTGCATGCAACAGAAATAAACACCCAATTAATCAGCATGCGATATTTTGTTAATAAATGATATTATTTTACTCACCAACAATTTATTCCCTATTTCATTTGAAATCAATATGATGCTTATCTGATAGTTGTTTGCAAACAACATATCCTTGAGTACATGCAAACATACCTACACCCTCTTTTATGTCTTCAAAAGAATCAAAAGACCCTTCTAGGTGATCAGACATGTAAGATACAATATCTATTTATCAATTCTATTTTTAAAAAACCATTATTGTATCAATTCAAATGTGGATCATACTTATAATGATGCAAATGAGGCCAATATTTTATATGCTTTGTGATAATGGATGAATTGATTTAAGAAAACCATGGATCAATTTAATATATATATATATATATATATATACACATATATGTTTATATCATTAAAAATTTACAAAAGTCTTACTTAAAATCTTAAGAAATTATATATATATATATATATATATATATATAATGAAAAAAAATCCTTCAAATTATTATTACTATGAATATTAAATAAAAATAAATTATATTACATATTTTCCTAAAACTTGCTGTTAATTATCATAAAAGTAAATCATAGAGCCAATTTCTTTCTATAGTTATCTTTGTAAGATTTGATAGGACCTCCACAAACTTATATTTTAGTGAAGTAATAAATCACATTTTATTTACTCTAAAAATCACCTAATCTCATTTTACAATTCTATTAAAAAAAAAATACTAAATATATTTCAAATAGATTTAATTAGATTTTTTGATGAACAACTATGTACTGAAACAATTATAGACTTCTTGATTTTTCTATTTAAAAAATTAATAGGATTTAAACTTTTTTTTTGATACATTGAAAAATTTTGTTGCCTTCAATAGTATTTTAAATATTTTCACCTATGTTTAAAAATGAAATATTTTTTTTAAATTTTATTATTTATAGAATAAAAATGATAATATCTTATATTATTACCATTAAGGTCTTATTAGTTTTAGATTTTGCTTTTAGATTCTTTTTGTCTCTTTTGCTATTGCAAAAAATTGCTAAATGAAAGTACACAATATTTATCTATATTACTTGAAGCTTAAACCTTTTGACAAAATATATCATTAACTTATATTAAATAATTAATTTTATATAATAATATAATTTTTATTTTTCATTTTCTATTAAAATTTTGGATTTAATTCTAATTCATATTTTTTTAAATAATTTTAAAAAGTACTTCTTTAAAAAATACTGTTTAAAAAATACTTTATAATTTATTTTTCTAAAAAATTATCACTACAATTTAAGTTAATGCAAAAATGATTGCTAACACTAATACACATATCTTGAAATGATTACATTAATATTGTTTTCTATTCTACTTAATTGACATCATATAATTTCGACTAAAATTATAATGTTCTTCATTAAAACATACACACATATACATATTTTTTTAAATTAACATAAAAATTATTTTAATTCTCTATGTGGGTGTCGATATGTGTACATGTATGTAAGTGTATACACATGTATAAGTCTTACATGTACATTATTTGAAAATTTACATTCATATATTTATCCAAAAAAATAGTTCATTTTTTTTTATTAAAATTACTTATTTCAGTATATAAAAGAAAAATTCTCCAAAATATTATCAGTTGTGCAAAATAATATATATATATATATATATATATATATACATATATCAGATGATTGCATACAACTCAATCTAGAATTGCAATCCTTGTTTACATTATTTCAGATATAACTTGCATTAAAATCCAAAATAAAATAAAATTAACAATGAAAAATAATAATATGAAATTTCATGCATTTATTAAAAAAAAAAAACCCAAGAAAAAAATATAAATTAATCTTCTTCAAAATTCATCAAATGTGGTTCCACAGATGTGAACACCTGATGACATGCCCTTCCCACCTTGTTCGAACGTTCAAGAAGAGTTCCCCAATGGTTCTCAGATGTTCCCAAAGTGGGAACGGCGCCGATCCCACATAATCAAAACCCTAATTTCTTCCGCAACTCATTCTTTCGCACCCTACGTCGCAGCCCTGAAGCTCACCGGCGCCATAGCCAGCAGCCTCGTTCTATTCTATCTCTGTACCCCCCCCCCCCCCCCCCCCCCTCCTCCTCATTCCTCCTTTTGTTCTTTTGAGCCGCCATCATGCAGAACGAGGAAGGAGATAACGTCGATCTCTACATTCCCAGGAAGTGGTAATTCTGCGCTTATTTATTGTCTTTGTTTTTCTTAAGTGTTGAGTTGTTTTGTCGAGTTCCTTTTTTAGGTCACGTTTGGAGGCTGTGGGATGGAGCTTGTGATTGGTATCGTCGTGTGAATCTTTCGCTTTTAAGCTTAGAGGGTTTTAGAATTGCGTGGTGTGATTACTGCGCGTAATGTGGTTTTTCTCGAGGAAGTGAGTGGATGCCAAGGTCTGTGGTTAGTTCTTCTAATTTCAAGGTAGTGTGCTTGGGTTCGGGTAGACTAATTTGGAATGGGCGTCGTGTTTGTGCTCGCAGTTCTTCAACCAACAGGTTGATCACTTCCAAGGACGTTGCCTCTGTTCAGTTGAACGTGGGTCATGTTGACGAAAATGGCGTCTACACTGGGCAGTTTACCACATTCGCCTTGTGCGGATTTGTTCGTGCTCAAGTATTTTTCTGTTCGCGAACTTTGTGACGTCCTCAGTCTTGTTGCAGTGATCTGTTCAGTGTTTATTGCGATACTTATTGGTCGATAGTCAACGCCCATGATCTTTCACGCAATCCTGGATATTATCTCGTGCTTGAGAGTTCTTCGAATTCTCTTCTTGTCTATGTTAACCTTGTCTGAATTTTCTTCTGTTTTTGTGTAGGGTGACGCAGACAGCGCTCTTGATAGGTTGTGGGCCAAGAAGAAAGCTGAGCTTGGCCAGTAACTGTGATGTGTAGCATATTAGGTGGGGCACAAATTTATTTGTGTCGCCAGTTTGATGTTTGCAAACAACAATTCTGTTCATCTCCTGGAGAATTAAATTTTCGCCAGTAGGGTTTTTCTTGCAGACGACCACTATTCTCTGTGACTTGTTGGTTTGATAATTTCAAAACTTGGAGCACTTGAGGGATCAGAATACCGCCCTGCAATGATGTTTCTGATGCTTCTGAATCATATTTCTGCACATCATTTAATCAATTACTGCGAAGCAACGGAAATGAATTATTTTTAGGATTCAATTGATAATGTAACCTTCGTTCATCAGGATATTTCTGTTTGCGGCTTTCTGCCATTTCATTGAGATCCAAGGTTTTCATACGTGTGACCTCATATACACAACCTCAGATTTTCCAGTATTTTAACTACACCTTCCCTCCCCTGATTTGGCAGAGTGCAGAATACGCTGTATTCGTTCACTGAGGATTCGCTCTGGATACCTGTCTGACCCCGTATCACTTCGATTCACTGTATAATCTTCGAACAAATGCTAGGGGTACGATTTATGCGTGATGACATTTACTAAGTAGTCTGTGGATCAGATACGACAAATGTAGAATCTCGTTCTCATGAACATGGGATAGAAATTTCAGCTGACTGCATTGCACCGTAATGTTTGTCTATTATGGAAATGGTTAGTACATGGGGCTGAGAGGCAACTTTTTTGTGCATCTCTAGGGACCAATTCCAGAGCTGGGGAGGCCTAATCGTGGGTGTGGGGTTATCTTCTCGCCCTCAACCCTAAACCTGGTCGCAATCTGTGCCTATTCTTGAAGGAGAGTTTTTCCAGTGGCTTACTCCTCAAACCAAAGCCCTGATGCCAGGGTCTCACTGCTTCGGTCTAACGATGAGCCTGTGGGGTGAGAGTGTCTCGGCACTTCTCACGAGTCCCGGGCAATCGGGTCGCCTCCTTTTACAAGAACAGGCGCGAAGATGTGCTATCTCTACACTCTTTGGAGCATATATTGCTTGAAGACGAAGCGGCATGTTTGAGTTGGAACTTGCACTAGTTTCCTTTACCAACTTCACTGTCCACTATGAATCACTTCAATTATGTCACTCTATAGGCGAATTAATTTTTTCTCGAAATGTCTGTGAACTTCTGTGTTGGTCACACTTGATTTCATTTCTTATCTATGTTACTTCTTTAATTGAAGACCACTTCCACAGGAGAGTAAAAGTAATGTGTACGTGCGGCTCTCACCCCTCTCACCCTTGAAAGCGCAATGAAAGTCCATGGCTGTGCAAGGGCATGCTTAAAGCATCATCAATGCTCACAATCGTTAAGTTAGAAATTTACTTAACATGTATGATACCCCTGAAGCTTTAGGTAACCCTCGAACGACTTGTGGTGAACCTCTTAGTCTATCAAGGTGACCAATTTGATCACCTTTAGGAGTTTAAGAGTCAAGAGATGCGGGCACCGAGGAAAGATCTGAAAAGAGACGTGAACTTTACAGTTAGGTTGCAAAAATAATTTACTTGGAGCCTCTCAACTGAATCAGTTCGGCTGAAGCCAGGGGACAAGATTCGAAGGTTGCCAATTAGCGCCAACGTAGAGGGTCAATCGCAGGAGAAATTTTTCTGAACTCAAAGTTACAGAAAACTTTTCCTTCTCAATGGCACAAGGTGAGGTATGCAGGTTGCAATTAAAGCGACCAGGAAATGTATGCATCGGTCCAGCTCGATATGATACACTCTACCTCCAAGAGGTCAGCTCCAGATCCCACTGAAACGTGTAGCAATGCTCATCGCGAATTCGATCGAGGATTGACTTGTTTTCCCTCAGCCACAATCTCTGATGACAAATATTGTGTGTGGTTTACTGTAGGAGCTTATGATAGCGTGATAATGTTTGTGAGTCTTTTACGTGTGCTTTGCAAGTTACATGTACTTTCTCTGGCACAGTTTGCAGCGCCTAAGAGATCTGACTATCCTCCTCCGAAAACGGGCGGAGGCTGGCATCAAAGTTCGTCAAGACAAGTTTCCATTAACACTCCTTACAAGACCGACAAATCTCTGTACAGGTTAGACTCTTTCCTGTGGCCAATGTATAAAGCATTTTACTGAAATTCAGACTACAGTTTCAGTTGGTATCATATATAATATATTAGAGCATCATCTTCTCAGGTGTCGTATGATTAGAATGTTAAGACGATACCTACCAGTGGTTGCAAATCTCATCACCTTCATTGATTTTTCCTATTAGTTACTCACTGACAAAAATCAGGGTTTGCTTGCATGTCGTTGGAATCTAAACAATCGTTGCTTGATCGAGTGGGTAGTGAAAATGATTTAGCTGTTTCATGATAAAAAAGCATTATTTTCTGTTTACTAAAGAAATTTCTTTAGTTCATGATCCTGATCCAGCATCGAATTCGGCCGAGTAAAAGTTCCTGGACAGAAGGATTATAAGACACTACGGAAGAGGGTACTTCCAAACTCCTAATTTCTAGGTTGTCGATGCATGGAAACCCCAACTAGTATACAAACTGGTGTTGGTTATATTTCCTGTAAAACCAACTCATTGCTAGTATCTCCAGCATGCGAACTTAGGTTTGTAAGACTTCACATAAGGTTTAGCAGTCTTTTAAAGAAATAGTACCAGTGCTACAATGACAAATTTGCTGAACTGCTTTACATTGATTGTTTTTAATCAATCTTTAGTACCCTGCTTGGACACGTACACAGGTCGCACCTTTCATTCCGCAATTCCCAAAAGAATCGGAGGAGGTGAGTGACTGGGCAGTTATTTATAATTCGAACGTCATCATTAGTAACCCCTTTTATTTACCAATTATATTTCAGACTCGACTGTGAGGTTTCACGGAACTTTTCATATTCTTCCTCTTTATTTGATCGTATGAATATATCCATGTATATAATAGATTCATTTGTCTGCATGTATGCCATCTGCTTGGGAACCTTCTTCGACGAGAAACCTCGAATGAATACTTGGTTCATGGATACATGCATCGAAGAGATATGGGAGTGCGGTGGAGCATGGGGGGCCTGGTGGATCTTTGGACTTTGAGGACACATTGAAAGATCACGCCAGATGCAACCATGGCGACCATAAAAGATATGTGTCAAGGGCAGAGAATCCTACACGGTATCCGTTCAGGGTGAGAAATCCTATTCCCACTGCATCAATCTGATTGCTGCGGATGTGAGACACATTTTTGGATAGCTGAAAGAAGCGATACCGATTAACCAAAGTGATAACATGAAGTTTCCTCGTTTAAGATCGAAGACGATTCCGATCACGACAGAGGAGGTTGTGCAACAGTTCCGTGGCTTAGCTCCCCTTAACTCTTGGTGAACACATTTTGGTTGGTTTGCAGTTATGCAATCCAGAGTTCGTAGATCACGATCGACCGATTGCAGTCGGTCCAAAACCTGTCATTCCATATCCCAAGAGAGTAACTGAAGACGACGTCCGGAATAATCCTCCCAAGGTACAAATCATCTCCTGGTCCCAGGTTCGGCCACCACTCCAGCTGCATGATTCCTTCTGCCTCATTCTACTTGGTGACATTGTTGCACAGGGATGGAAAGGAACGAAAGGATTCTTCACTCCCGAACCGAATGGTATCTCATCAGAATCCGGTCTGGTTTGTAAAATCCACCATCACACCTCAACCCTCACAACTTGCCTGTGGAAATGTTTCTTTCATAGAATAGCCAGGTTGAGATGGGTCGTCAAGCCGCAACAATGAGATAGTTTGCTAACACAGGTGGGTATTGGATAGCTGAGATTACAAATCTTAATAAACTATCCTTGTTTTCAATGAGCATTGCAGTTGGCAGCGAGTATGTATTACCGCATTTGTCGTCCACTAGAAGGTACCCTCCTGGCCATGAAGGGTGACAGAAGCATCAAATCTTCAGTCATGAGCTGAAATTCCACCCAATCAAATTCCAAAGGATTTCAGCTTTGATTAGCTCCAATCAAAGCTACCAGTATTGAGCCTGATCTCAACTTCTAAGCCTGCTTTTTTATTTCTTCAGTCTCTAGCTGCAGTAGATTACAACATATTGTTTATGTATATCTTCTTTGACCTGCAACGTTGATTAGGACGTTAATCAGGCCATTAAAGGATACAACTTAGATTACTTAGCAGAGAGGTAACAGAATACTGGAATAGAAGAATGAATAATTATGAATACTTATTACTTAACGTTTTAGTTGAGTTCCTTTAAAACTCATAAGTAATAAGTAAATTAATTGTATAAAACTGTGATAAATTATGATATTCATCATTTTTATCTCGCAATTTTCTTGAACAAAAGATTAAGGAGAAAAAAAAAATTAATTCAAGTTTTTTGAGTAGTCATGGTCAAATCCAAATAATAACTTGTTTTTTAATTTCAATAATGATCATTAATTTTAAAATAAATAAATACATATTTATAAAAAATGATATTGAAAGCAATTTTTTTATTTTAGAGGATTTGATGATTTGATTCTTTTTCAGTTGATGAATGTTGAATTATTGACATGTTAATACTTGATAATTTTTAGTTTAAAAATATATATATATTTTTTTTATATATCATCAAAAAATTTTGTTTTCTATAAAAATTAGCTATGTTTTTTTATAAGAATTTATAAAGTGCTAGAGAGAAAAAATTTATAGATTTCAAATATTATTTTTTTTATAAAAGAGACATGAATCATAAAAGATAAAAGTATCTTAAAAAAATTATTAAATTTTCAAAGAGTATTAAAGATTGGAGAGACTTAAATTCATTAAAAATTACTAAAATATATATATATATATATATATATATATATATATATATATATATATAATGAATTGTTAATTAAAAGATAGTTATTTTATTCTTGTTTTAAATCAAAAAAATAGTAGAAAAATAAATACCAAAATAAGTTTAAAAAACCATATGATAGAAAACATAACTTGAGATGCAAATTATTTTTAATGGCCTTTTAAAAATTACAAAGATTGACTTAAGCTTTAACCAACAAAGTCAAGAATGTAATTTTTAAAATTTGTGACATTAATTTTAAAATAAAATTTTTTAAGGACACAAATATTTTAGTACTCTCTCTTAGCTACTTTGGTGCCCTTTGAAGTTGCTTGTCAATTTAATTGAGGATATACAATGCTCCCCTATTAATTTTCTTATTTTCCATATATCTACTTCAAACAATTAATAAATGATTCTAGAGATATTAAAATAGCCAAAAGAAATTAACAAATTATCTATGATCTTAATCAAATACTAGATCTATAACTATCTTACATATATTGCATAGTATTAAATAATCATTTTGAGGATTTTCTTTTTTTTCTGAAATTTTGTAAAAATTTGATAAAATAACTATTTATTACTATCAGATACTAATTTTTTTATCTAATAATTAAAAGAAAGAAACAAAAGAAAAAGAAAAGAATAGAAAAAAGAATTCATTTTTTTTGTAGAAGTGCTCAGCTATAACTCTTTGTATAATTAGTCATGAACTTATACAAAATGTTTACAAACCTGATTTTTGCTTATACAATGTTTTCATTAAAAATCTCAATTTTGAAGTGTATATGTATATATATATATATATATATATATATATATACACATATGTGTATATATGATTGATTTTTTTGGAAGTGTAATTAAGAATTCATCATGACAAAAAAAGAAAATGTCCCGACTCTGAATGCATTGAGCAGCAAGAATACATAACAATTGTGTGCTTTTTGAATGCTACAGTGGCAATCTTTGTGCCAAATTGTATGTTTTTAACTTATATAAAGTGCAACATATACCAATTCTTTATTCTCTAGAATTAAGAATAACCCAAGACCTTGAAGTCCAAAATCTCTTAAAAGTTTTCAATAAAATACACAAAAGCTATCAAGAAATACACAAAGGGTTGACCAAGATATGGGACACCAAGTACGACCACATAATTCTAAACACTCTTCTTGCACAAATACATGAAAAAAAGCTTTAACATTACGAAGCATAGGAACACTATGGTCTTTTTCAGAAGATGCTTGATATCATCCACATGTGATAAACAAAACCTGCACAAGCTCAGAACTAACACATCTTTCATCAATTGGACCCATGCCAGAGTGTTATATAGAATGGTGTGTGAAATAAATTTTCTAGCAGATTTGATCTAGCTACTGTAGTACCTTGATGATGGCTGCAAGCTGAGGAATTTGAAGCAGTTTGAGGTCTAGCTTGGAATTATGTCCCGTCTTGGTAGTTCCACCTGCCAAAGATTGGGACATGTTTCGCTTTGGATCCTTGCAGTATTTTCATCTAAATGATATGACATATCAGACATCGAACACAGTGGGAAATTGAAATTGTTCACGATGAACGTGTGTTTTCCGCGTTAGAACGTTAACACGTACTTGGCATACTTGTCTTGCATTTTAGCGTCGAGGTTACCAGCTCTGGTCCTATCAACTTTATTACTGCGGCTACCGCTGCAAGCATTGACGTCCATGATGAAGACATAAGTTTAATTCTTCATTTTTACGCTCATATTAAAGTAACCTGATAAGTAGGTACAATACTCACAGATCCTCTCGCATCGTTCTCAAGGTGGCAGCTCGGAGGTCTTGTGTCTGTGCTAGTGACTGCACACCATTCACCAAAACAAGTTAATGAGAGTTTAATGACAGTTAATCAGTTGGATCTTGGTTTTTGGTCGGTTTTAAAACAGTTACATTCTTGGCTTTCCAGACAAAATAAATTAGTATGGACAATTGAACCAAGGGGGTTTATGTTAGTGACGTTATGAAACCTTCAGTTAGAAGCAGAGACTATCTACGATATAGCGCATTGTATCCATGAATAAAACCTCGTCGTGGCACATGAAAGAGGAGGTTCAAGTCTGGGTTCAAACCTCAAATTGTTCATGGATGAACTTGCGCTGGAAAATGACCCTTGCTGCCAATGCAACACACTGTTGAGTCACAAGATCAAACAATCATCATAATGCATTATGGATTCCTGCAATTTTCATTCAGAAGCATTCAATAACTTGAGTGTGAACGATCAGGCACCACGTTTATTTCTGCGGTCAGTCAATTCTTCAACTCAGGATTCGATTTCCTACTTATAAACTTAGTGAGGGATAGATGTGGTGAGGATTAAACCAAACCTCAACAATGACGACAAAAATATACAGCCAACAAATCGAAGACAAGTAGCGGTCCACCTGTCATACAGGATCCATAGCTTTGTCAAGGCTTTACCATTCAGAGACTTATTCCAAAGATCATGAATGCTTTTGGAAGATTATATGTTCAAAAATTCACAAGTTCATTTTATTTTGTTTGAGAGAGAGAGAGAGCCTCTTACAGTTTCTTCTGAAAATCTTTTGCTCTTGAAGCTTGCCACAACTTTAGCCCTCTGCAATGCCAAAGGCCAAATGCTTATGTCAGACTAAAGAATTAAGAGCCATCTAGAGAGTTTAAGGTCTGAACAAGCTCTGAAGACAAGAAAATCAAACAATTGATTGACCTGGCCAAACATGCAGAGGCAGAAAACTGCAGTGCCGAAGATGGCTATGCTCATGCAGATGATGTGACTCTTGTAGCAACAGGGCAGAGTTGTGCCCCCAAATCCCGTAAAACCACCCAGCATTGTCGTTGACCCCAAAAGTATCAGCAACCTGTCCCAGGAAACGACCGCACATTAACGGTTTCGTTTATCAAGTACATTCTTGAACGAAGTGCGATAATCTCCATCACGTTGGGGCTTATTCAAGTGGTTAAGACACGTACCATCCAGGGGAGAAAGTTGGCACGGGATTGATTTCAAAAGACATCACCACAGTCATAATGCCAAAGATCTGCTCAAAACAAAAGTCCAGTGTGCATCTATAGCAAAATTCACCAACAATTCAAAGAGTCTCCTAGCGGCCAGTAAAGTAGATCCAGACAAAGTCCTACATATGAATTACAACATGAATCAACTTGAAAGACGAACAATAGCCAACAGAGAAGAAACGTACGATGACAGCAACGTTCAGAAGCTTCAAGATGTTCTTATAAACTTTGTGCCCGATTGGTATCTGTGCCTCTCGAAGCCTGGGCATCTTTCTTGATGGGTGGATATAACTGGTATCAAAGTCTACAGGGATCGCCTTCTCTTAATTGCTTCCTCGGCATTACAAGTCTCATACCGAATTCACAACACTTCTTGACTGCAATGGTTGGACGACAGCGTGAAATTGGCCATCAACTCTCCTCTACACCCTCAGCCTTACACCCATCCGGAGATCCTCTGCCACTGTGGGTCTAATAACACAACGCATGTGGGCTGCCTTTTGATCTGTGTCCAGGTATAGAATCATAATTTCCTGCACTTTCTAACACCTGCAGACAATCACAATCTGGCAGGGGCGGATCTAACCCCACAATCAACGCAAGAATACAACTGATGGGAAAGTTAATGCACATTCACGTCACACAGGCTTCGAAGCTCAGGTGGTGAATGTAGGCCATTCCTGCTTCATGGAACCACAACCAAGGCTAACAATCGCACCTACAAAGCTACCTACACGCCATTTTTCTACGTCATCAGGATGCAAACTGTTGGAAAGTAATTAGAACCACGTACTAGGTTTACGCCAGAGTTGGTGAGAGGTTTGATGGTGGGAGATCTCAATAGATCCTCCGACGTTAAAAGGCTTTATATCCCGCATTGTGTATGTATCTGATGGCATTCCAAGAGACACACCCTCCCCAACCCCGCATAAACTTTAATTATTCGGAAATTGGCGTTTCTACACTGCGACCATGAGTTCCACCCCTTGGCAACAAAATCTGAAGAAAGCCTGGGCACAATCTTTATTCGAAATGATTACGATGGTCTGTTCACTTCAGAATTCCCAGGTTGTGATTGAATGGGGTCACCTTCACGAGACCATGTAGCCGATTCTGAGAATTTCGGTGATCTTGAAGCACCTAGAGGACGTTGATTGAGGGCACAAGCCGCCCATGGAAGCGAGTCCAAAGTTGAGCACGATCTTAGAGGCGGGCGGCGACCATGGTAAACTTGAGGAGCTTCCGGAGCCATACACCCACTACCTGGATCGCATTTCGTGCAAGGAAGGCTACAGAGCAGGAGTGTATTGGACGTCCGGCGATCATTACTGCGGCGAATGGCACGAAAACAAGCGTCATGGTGAGAGATTGAACCTTGCTTCTCTTCGGCACTCATGCATATCTTATCTTGTTTCCTGATCCCTGGTCACTCGTGATGAAATCACTCCTATTGCATTGCAGGCAAAGGCATGCACACGTACCAGAACGGCAACAGATACGAAGGAGAGTGGAAGAATGGCAAGAAGGATGGTCATGGGACCTTCTGGATCAAATCGGGGAGGTACTACATTCGAAAATACAAGGGAAAATGGAAGGAAAACCAATACGGAGTGAGTTTGATGCCGTCTCCTTCCTCCTGGCCGTTGCAATTTCCTTCCGCACACTTCACAAGCTCACAAAGGAGGAGCTCAACAGCCGGTAAAGTTTCCATGACTGACTGTCTTTGCAGGGGAATGGGACATACTTTGGACTGGGAGGAGAGCTCTACGTGGGCGAGTGGGAAAGAGGCAAGCGACACGGGATGGGTGAGCAAACCTACCGGGATTGGAGTCACAAGGGCGAGGCCAAGTATCACATGTACCACGGGAGATGGGCTAATGGGAAGCGTGAGGGCCAAGGCCACCTCGCCATGTGTGAGTCTCGCAATCCCTACTACTGCACAACTTACAACAGCAAGTGAGAGAGAGAGAGAGAGAGAGAGAGAGAGAGAGTTCCCCTACAATGATAAGTAGAACACACCCAATTCATCACCTCTACTGCATCGCGTAGTGATCAGTTTGCCATGACGTGAGTGCAGCTAACGGGAATGTGTTTCAAGGAGAGTTCAAGAACGATTGGAAGGAGGGCATGGGTGTGTTCTACTTCAAGGATAAGCAATCGAAGTATGAGGGGTTGTGGAGGAACGACAGTGCGGTGTCAGGGTTGTACTCTCGTAACATGAAGCTGGGGCAGCCAGAATTACCATTTGTGATGGTTCCTAGCTGCGAGGGGTTGAACAAGCAGTGCCTCAAGCTGGCTGCATCTCAACCCCTTCCACAGCGCTACGACAAAACCACAAGGCGGACGGACCCTGCACTTTGCACTAGAAAATTCTACAATGTTCTGTACAAATCTCCTCTTCTGGATTGACATCTACTGCACGTTAGATGATGGTAGCCGAAACTGGCTTGTGCTTAAAGCACCTTCGAAGATGATTGAATGCGAGGCGACTGGATGGTGAGGGGCATCGAGTCTTTAAGATATATCCACAACCTTGTGCCCTGGCTTGCCTGCCGCTGCTGCAGTCGCAGAATTCCAATCCCCATCCAGAAGCTATGGCTTGTTAAGAATTAGAGCAAGTGCTGTAGTCACTCCAAACTGAGGATTTGATGGAATTTTTCTTTTCATTTATTTATTTATTTATTTTTGTTATCTTAACCCTTTTCATGGCTTTGCTGATTGCTTTCGTCCAAAAAGGACATCATTGAAGTTGAAAATGCGGCGTCGCGGCCACTGTACATTACAATCATCCGTAGCATTCATTTTCTACCAAGGTAGAGAACTGACAGTGCCTTGTGACGAAGTAGCAACAAATGTTGTACATTAATTAAAAAATCAACTGATTACACACGAAGACGAAACCATCGACTAAATTCTAGCCGATTGCTTCCAATTCTAGTCAATTGGAACACTACATCTCCACGAAGGCACCTCAAAAGTCTGCATCGTCGTCCCAGACCAGGGGTTCATCATCAGTAATTCTGAGTAGCTCCGTCAGCCCTGTCAAATCTTCCAAGTAATTAGGGCGATTCAGAACCTCCAGAATAAACTCTACGCCTTTTTCCCTGAATTCTCTCACGACCTGCCAAAATCACCACTTGTAAGGACGTTCTTCACGAAACATCTCCCCTTATTCCATTCATTGCTTATTCTAGATTGTAAATAGACAATTCCTAAGAAGAATTGTGCAAAAAGAGCAGGATAGATTGCAGTGGTAAGAGAGCGAGCGAGCGAGCGAGCGAGAGAGAGAGAGAGACTTACAGAAGCAGAGCAGGCTGTGCATTTGTCAAATGCTTGACCCGTCACTACCAACTGGGCGTAATGAGCAATAAAACCTCTCACTTGATGTGGCATAATCCCCAATGGGTGCTCAGTGTTATCTGTTAGAGAAGTGGCTTGGTCACCAGGAGCTGACACCCTGCAGCCAACAGAAAAATAAAAAATAAAAAATAAAAAAATGGCCACATTCCGGAATGTCAGCCGCAAGGAAAAGAAAATAATAGTGCAAATTAGCAAAAGAAAGGGAAAAGACAATAATTGCCATGCTCTACCGTGTTGCAAGAACATCAACTTCCGAAGACAAGCCATGAAACTGGGGAAACAGTAGTACAATGGTGAGGTATGAGTCATGGCATACCCTAGGGGATGATGAAGAAGGGCCACTGCTAACTCAACGGCGAGAGAAGCAGCAATGGGAGCTAGACCTGGCCTTGTCACTGTACACTGCTGATCAAGTGTCCTGTTTGCTGTAGACTGCAACATAAATGACAAACAATTAGTTGAGACTGGCTCAGCAACATGAATAAACGAATTCTTTAGAATGAAACATGAGACCCGTATGTGAGAAAAGTGAGAAAACAGCTGTGAAGAGGTTATTTGTACTTACGTCCAATGGAGCAACAACATCATTACAAAAGTAGCAACCCAGTCTAGGTTGTCCATCGGAGCTGCTGTTAGAATCAAGTGAAGGAGCTGCCCCATGGCGCATGACTAGGTACGTGTCAAAGCCTAACGCAGCATTGATTGCCACCTGCAACATGAAATTCATGCAGACGTCTATAAAAATTAACAATAACACTGCTCATGCAAAGATTTTCCTTCAAAAAAGTAAAGAACTATTTCATTTCTATCATCATATGTTTGCGTACCTTGTTTGCATCGGCACACAAAAGAGTGGGCAACCATCGACTTTCACGAGTGTCTGTGAGTAGGAACACCACGTCATGCGTGTCCACAAGCTCTTTTAGTCGCCGACAATCTTCAACCACCCCCGCAATTTCATTTTTGCCAACAGAGTGGCCAGGCATGGGGATCGACATCTGCACTCCTACAGCATTCTGAACAAAAATGTCGAGTTCAAACCACGCTCTCACTAAGTGAAAACACCAATCATCCAATGACAATGCTCAAAATCGATTGACAATAAAAGTTCCAACTAATTATGCTATCAAAGGACGTCTCAATGTTGTTGCTAAAGATCGATGCTGTCGCAGAAGTACCAGTGCATTATAATCCTACGATACAGCTGAATGATAACAGCCCATGATCATTTAACCCAAGTTCATTTAACCCATGATCTTGAAAGTGTTAGGGAGCACCTTCAAACAGTTACACAACTAATAAAATGAAATCAGCGGCATGAATATATGGAAGGTCAGCGAAGATCATCGTGATTCCATCCACAGAGAATGGATCAAAATGAAGATATAGTCGTGCTCAATATGTTCGCAAAAACTTAAGACATGGAAACGCAAGCAAAACAAGGAGAGGGTATGATCAACTACCACACCAGGGAAGATTCGCTTCAAATTCTCGGCAGCCGCTTCAGCCTTTGGCTTTCCGTTATGCAGGCTATCTTCGTGGGTAAACAGCGACTGCCTCAAAGGATTCGAAAAAGCAACTCTTCCATAATCCACCAGTGTAATATGCCGCATACCCCACGCCTTCACCAATGTTCGTGACAAGTGTGAGACCAATAAATGTAATTATTAGTGATTTTGAACAGGAATCATAAACCTCCTAGTACCAAATAGAGGGACATTCAATAAAAGAATACATATACGTCAGCAAATGGATCTAGTGTAACATTGTTGCTTACAGCGTTCAGGCCTATTCATTGCAATGAGGGTAGCGCTTACCATCAGCGTACGTGCAACTTGACAACCAAGAGTACCAGCTCCTAATAACAGGCACTTCGTGGAAGCCATCCGAGGTAAATCAAGAGATGGAAGCAATCGCCATCTCATCAATTTCAAGTTCAAATCGGCTGCAGACTCAGCCAACCTGTGAAATCATTGTAAGTAATAAAGTAGAAAACTTTCTATAGACACAGACATCTTGGTATTGATGAAATCATCTGTAGATTTCTACAATGATTTGTAGCCTTTTGTACGGATCTTGCATTATATTACTGTCACACACTAGTTCTATCAGTAAAAGTGGCAAAGGAACAAGTGATAAAACCATGAAAAAAATATTAAATAATCAATCAATCAATTAAAAACGTACTTGAGAGGATCCATGGATTGACCGAGATCAACAAACTTAGAGCCTTTACCGCCTCTAGCATTAAGCTCCCAGCCTACTGGTTCCATCCACTCTGCAAATGAATTATAAATAAATTAGTGCAAAGCTTATGAAAGCTTACTAAAAACCCTCCCTCAAAAAGGGAAAATAGCAAAACTTAACCCGCAAAATTAAGAAGACAATGCCAAAAGTCACATCTTACACAATCTGCAGCTGAAAATTTAAGTGGGATTGCGGAAGCCCATATTTCAAGGGCAACAAGGTAGGAAAATTATCAAAAAAGCATGTGATTGTCAGACTTAGAAATCCTATACAACCTAAATAAGAGATTAAGCTCTTAGATAAGAAATTGGTTTGCTGAATATACTGTTCAACTTGAAACACAAACCTATCTTAGCAGGCAGGATGATGTCGAGCACTGGCGAGTGTTCGAGATCTAGTTGACCACTCCTGTTCTCTCGATAGCACAGGACTTGCAGGCGTGAGACCCCCCATCTGACACTTGCCAAAGCGAGCAGATTACGAAGCGGCCACCCGGGATTCGCCGGAAGATTTGAAGGATCATAAAACGTTAAAACGATCTGTAGCACGACATCAAGAGCAATTGACCATTTCACCCAAAAAATTTAGATAAGAACGGATTTTAATGGGAGAAATAACTCTTGTTTAGACACACTTCAATGTCACATAGTCAAAAAAACTGAGAAACATTGGAATACCTGAAGCGCCAAATTTGAACATAATCTACATGATGACTTTCAACCTCCTTACCTTTCCACCTTCTTGTTGAGCAGTGTGCCATTCCTTCAAAGATTGTGATTTTATACTGCCATCAGGTGTTATATTGATCAAGAACGAGGTTAAACCTGTAGATTCCAACAGAAAGCCACGCATTACATTGCATTACATGTAAGGATCAATACAACTAATCAAGCTGGCGTAAGTGCATTGTACAGCACCAACTGCGAAGCAAATATCGTTCCCTACCGTTTGACCAATCCCTGAAGACTTTTCTTACACTACTACAGAATCCTTGAATAGATGTCTAAGTAGACTAAAGAAAAGCTCTACACGTACTAAAATTACCAAACCCAATTTAGAAACATATATGTATTTGAAAGTCAGGAAATTATATGTGTCTAGGAGGCTGTGCCATCTACACAAGCTAAACAGGTGGGCACAATTTGCCCATTACGCAACCTCGGTAATAAAATGCAATAAAGCCAATAGAACTAGCATATAAAGAGCACAACACAACAAGGATCGAAACATGGGGCTTACTTGCACCAGATGGCAAAGCTCGCCATTCGGTGCATGCCGCCAACACTCCTGCAATCTGACAAACACGTGAGTGAAAATATTAACAACCTGAAATCCGATTAGGAGCCGATGAAAACGAGCAGACACGAAAGAATGGCAAATAATGTGCTTCAAGGTCTAATTCCATGCAGATGACTAACCTCATCTTTAGAGAAAAAATCACGAGCAGCCTGACAAGCAGCAGCAGTTGCTTGTGGTGACATTCTCAACCCTGGAAAAGCGAACCTATAAGTGAAAGTCCACTTCTTCAGATCAGCGTATGAAACAACGAGAAACCTGCTCAGAAGACTGGTGTCTTCCTCTGCCCTGCCAGATTTGATATCATCCCATATCTGCTACACCAAACATGGACTTAGATATGCCATACCAAATCCCAGCATTTTACCGCTAAATAACAAAAAGTAAAAGTACATCGAAATATTTTCATTGACAACGATCATATTGCACCTTGAATAAATCTCAATCTCTAAAAATTCTATACTAGCAGGTGCCTATGACTACTATACAATTCTATAGACGACATAAGAATACCTGGTCTGCAGTGGCTCTCAACAGTGCCGGCTTGTCGAGAGCATTGTAGGACTCGAGAGTGTTCGTGTTATACAGCATTCCCGGTACTGGGAGGCGATTTCGATTGTAAGGGACTTCTGTGGGTTCATTGCTGGCGCCGGTATCCAGCGGTAAAGATTCCATCATCAGCTGTAAGTACGACGGGGCATGTGGCTGGTTGCAGGGTGCAAAAAAACCTATAATGTTTGCCAAATTCGAAAGTTAAAGATTCTGACAATATGATGTAGGGAAAAGAGAGAGCGGAATCCACTCGTACTGCAATCCGCAATTCTTGAACCCATTTTCACAGACACGAGTTATCTGAGATGCAACAATTCACTCATAAGGTCAACCACGTTCTGCAGAACAGAACAACACAGAGCTAGGCATAAATCAATCCCATTGCGAAAAAAAGGTCTTTCAAAAGCAACAACAATCCATACCCGAAATGCTAATGGGCACCTCGGTAAGTTTCTGCGTATCAAGCTTGAAATCTGCAAGCCGGTGCCAAAAACTCGCGTCGGCAGATCCCGCCCACGCCACGAACTTGAAAGGCATCGGTTCAGACAATTCTCCTCCTCCTCCACCAGAATCCTCTGTAGGCGGCGAAGTAATCCCCATGGTTTTGATCGAATTCCACTCTCGCAAATCAGCTCGGCAAAGACCGAAACCCTAAAATCAAAAAATCCACAATACCTCCAAAACGCTCGCAGATATCTCAATGAAGCAAAACTGGATCGCTTCCAGAAGCAAACAGATCCACCCCTGGAGACGCCACGCAACCCAGAAAAAAACCCAAGCGGTGGTGTACACCCCAAGCCACCCCACCTGGCTGCCAATTCACATCACGCGCAATTCCGTGGCTTAATCAACACAGACTCAACCGATGATCGCGAGTCTTCCCCAGGTTACGTGACATCACACCAATTTCACAACCCAGATCGCAAAACACTAAATTTCGCTGCAAATCCGGTGGTGGTCAAACTTCCGATGAGACCATCACAGATCGACGCCACGGTTTCAACAGTTGCGGAGACGGCATCAAAAGTCGATAGGGTAGATTGAAATTGTTGAGAATGTTTAGAAAGACACAAGAGTAACGGTAAGTAATACACACAAAAGAGAGTTTATAAGGAGAGAGGATCTGGTTGTGTCTAGTATACAAGAGGAGGATTATAAGGAGAGAGGATCTGGTTGTGTCTAGTATACAAGAGGAGGAGAAGGGGAGAGGATAAACAGTTCCTCTCCACTACATTCCAAATACTATAGCTATAATATTTACTGTAGACTACAGTAAATATTGTGGAGAGCATCAGCTACATTTAATGCTCTCAACACTCCTTCTAGCTCATCATAATATTTACATAATATAAAATTTGTATAGAATTATGATCTATATTTTTGTATAATTTCGTAAGATCAACAATTGATGTTTCATTAAAACTTTATTTGAAAAAACCTTATTGTATTTAAGGGCAAAACCATAGATGAAAGAAAAAGAGTATAACATCATTTTCTTTAATTATTTAAAGAGTTCATTAACTTGCTCATTCAAGAAAAGCAAGTCACCGCATACCAATGCCATAAGTAAGTCGACGATGGTTACACAATGGGAGAGCTTTGGTGAAGAGATCAACAAGGTTATTTGCAGATTCAATTTTCTTAATTATAAGTGCTTGATCAGTAATCAAGTCATGGATATAATTAGAATACTTTGGATCAATATACTTTGTCCTATCGCCTTTAATGAAACCATCTTGCATCTGTGCAATATAAGCACTATTATCTTCATGCAAGATAGTTGGAGAATCATCATATGAAAATCCACATGTTGTTTGAATGAATTTATCAATTGATTGCAACCAAATACATTCTTGAGATGCTTCATGTAAGGCAATAATTTCTGCATGGTTGAATGAAGCTCCAATTATTGTTTGTTTTACTGATTTCCATGATATTGTAGCTCCATGTCTTAAAAATACATATCATGTTTGAGATTTAGCTATTGCAATATCAGATTTATATCCCACATCACAATATCCAACCAATTTTGGATCTGCAAATTGTGTGTAGTATAATGCTAAGTCTTCAGTACCTTTTAAATAATGTAATAAATGTTTGATGCCAATCCAATGTTGTAATATTGGATGTGCACTATATCTTGCAAGAATACTAACTGCAAATGCAATATCTGGTCTTATAGATGTAGCCAAATATAAAAGTGCTCCAACTACTGCGAGATATGGATATTGATCTCCGAATATTTCCTCCTCCTCCTCCTTACATGGATGGTATAAATCATGATGATCACGACCACGTCCAACCATTGATATGGACAATGGATAAGCATCAATCATATTAAATCTCTACAAGATTTGTCTAATATACATTACTTAGTAGAAAAAAATGCTACTATCTATGAGATGCATAATCTGAAGACCAATATAAAAAGTTATTTTTCCTAGTATTTTCATCTCAAATTCATGTATAAATAGGTTAGTAGCTACAACACATGTAGATTTAGTGCCCACTAGGTTAAGATCATCAACATATACAACGATGCTCACAAAACCAATTTTATCTCGTTTAATAAATAAATAAAGAATTAGTAGATCACTTACAAACTTATGTGTAATTAAATAATCTCAAAGACGTTGATACCACATGCGTCTGGATTGTTTTAAACCATACAAGGCCTTACATAATTTAATACCATAATATTGTCCTAGAATAGGTCCATTTGGAGTTCTTGTTTCTAAGCCAAGTGGAACTTTCATATAAATATTTGCATCAAGAGAATCATAGAGATATGTGGTTAGCACATCCATGAGATGCATCTCAAGAGTGGCATGAAGTGCCATTCCAATAATATATCAAAATGTAATTGAATCCATGACTGGAGAATATATATATTCATAATCAATGCCAAATCATTGAGTAAATCTTTGAGCAACAAGATGAGCTTTATAGCGGATTATTTGACCCTCAGCATCTTGCTTGTGTATTAATATCATCTTATATCCCACAGGGCAAGATGTAAGCGTATCTACAATTGGACCAAAGACTTTCATCTTAAACAAACAGGTATACTCCTCCTCGATAACAGTTTTTTATTTTGATCAATCAGAGCAACGCATCGCTTCTTTGATGGTTTGAGGTTTAGGATCGTCTTCTTTGCAAGAAGGGACTTTCTATAATCATATATGCAAATGATTCATCTATCGTAATAGATGGTTTGTCCCAAATGTCGTTTGTAGCATAATACAAAATAGATAATTCTTTACTCAACTTGTTCTTATTCCTTCTAATTCTAAGATTATTTTTCACAGGAATTGAAGGTACATTATGTATGGATATATCATCATGAATTGGTGGTCCCTTAAGATGAGTGAAAGTTTCTTGAGAAATAATACCAGGATTAGTTAATATTATAGCTTTCTTCTTACATGGTTGCTTATGTAGTGCACGAGTTCTTTTAGTTGTTGTTGTTATAACTTGAGGTATTATAGTCAATAGCACTGCAATCTAAGCAGGTGCATTTTGAGCCTCATTAATAGGAACTCTTGTAATTCTAAGTGCATCATTGAAGCCATTAAGTATTTTATCTGTAATTTGATTTGGATGCAAAATCTTAGCAACTTCAGTTTTAGCCAAAGATGTCCTAGGATTGGAATTCATTGTAAATATTTTCAATGCTTCAAATACAAGTATTTTATTTCTTTCTTGATTGAATATTCATCCTTAAAGAGATGGAAATATATTCTCTTCAAAATCGCAATTTTATAAACATGTACATAGTAATGCGTCAAGGACAAGAACATGATGAAGATAAATAAACAAGTGAGACTTCTCTCAAAGAAAGATGAAAAAATAGAAATAATTTGGTATGTATATTAAGAGAGAAACTAGAATGGCTATTATCAAAAGCCAAGAAAACTAGAGACCCTTGAAACTAGACTGGAAGGAAGAAAGGAGTTGACAAGAGTGAAGAAGGCTTCACTTTTGTCTTTATATATACTATCTTACTAGGAGCTATATGGCGACATTCTATAGGACCTCCAATATGTGTTGACTTTGTAGGACACCTCCCTTGACTTACAAGGAAAGTTTTTTTATATGTGGGCCATATAGTTAGTTTGATCTTCAAGCTAACAATATGTGTGGGACATGGCCAACTTGTTGACTACGTTTCTAATCCCAAAAAGTCAATTAAACACACCTATAAAGTCAAAGCAGTGTCTATAAAGCTTCTAGGAAGCTTTCATACCAAATATTATAGAATTAACTTACTTTTATTTACTTTTATTTATTTCTATCTATTTACACATGTAATTACTGGCTTACATGCGTATGTCCGTGACATTATCCCCCCTTTTAGGGACGAGTTCTACGAGGAGCGGTAATCATATGTTGAAAAAATCTATGATGTGACGAATTATATTCGCCACATACTCTGATCTTTGTTCTCTTCGAAGATGATTGATAGGGCCTCTCAATCATCGGTAGTGTACCATACCAGGGCAGAAAGACCACCCAGTTATTTGATCATTGTTGAAGCCTTCATAACTTCCTTCAAATAAAACATTTGGAACACCATCAGGAGTTGTTCTTACCTCTAGTAAAATCACCAAAAATCGGGAGTCCCTTCCAAGGTCGTGATACCAAACGCATTGTATCTCGCCATCTATTCGAGGAAGAATACATCATTCTTGAAGATCTTCATCTCAATTGCATCATCTTGAAGGTTGTGACAATCATAATGTCTCGTTCGACATATCAACAAACGAAGGTTCTTGAGTCAAATCCGTTGGTTGTTAGTTCTCCATCTCTTGAGTGTCACAACTACAAAGAAGCTACAAACAAGGATTTAAAGTAAAATGTTATCTTGCCTAGATCTTGTTTCTTTTATAAAGAAGGTTTTCATCTTGATTTTGATGAATGTCGTCGATGAAAAGCCTCCACTGCCTTTGCTGCATTTGCAAGATTCTATACTGGCTCCTATGTGCATTCACTAATATCATATCTGCGCCAATAGACAAGATATTCCAATTTATTTTGGCGCTGGCTTAAATCTAAGACTTCTTCTACTTCAAACTCTTCATTATTGTCCACTTCTATAGAAGGAGGTGGAGCATGTCTTCTTCTTGGTATGTCCACTGTCTTGTATGGTTTAAGAAGAGACTCGTGGAATATTGTATGGATTTTCATTGAATCTGGTAGGTATAAACGATATGCAACTAGATTGATTTGTGCAGAAATAAAGAATGGTTGAAGCGTTCGATAATCTAACTTGTCACAAGGATGAGTGGTCTTGATATTACAAAAAAGTAACCATACTTTATTACCCATGTAGAATGGTGGTTGTTCCTTTTGATAGACATCCACATTAACCTTTTGTTGTTCTTGAGCTTCTTTTAACTGCGCCTTCATCATTGCATGTAGCTCTAATAAATGAATTGCCAAATCTTTCGCAACAGGATTATCAACTTTTGAAAATTTAAAAGTATCAAGTCATGGATGATAACCATAATTGGCAAAGAAAAGTATTTGTTTTATAGAAGAATGTACCGTGTTCTTGTTAGCAAACTATGTCAATGACAAAAGAGTTGTCCAATCATTTTGTTGGTAGTTAATGGTACATCTTAAATATTGCTCCAAAACTTGATTAACACCCTCTATTTGTCCATCAATTTGAGGATGGAATGCCGAAGATAGTTTTATATCCACTTTTAGAATCTTGAAAAGAGTCCGCCAAAATCTTGATACAAATTGAGTTTCTCTATCTGATATAATATCTTTGGATAATCCATGATAGCGATAGATATTGTCAAGAAAGAGCTTAGCTATTTCTTCACCTATGATAGATTTTGTACATGGTACAAAATGTGCCATCTTGGTAAAACAATCTACTATCACGAATATAGAGTCATAAGAACCTGAGATTGAAAGATCCGTGATGAAATCCATAGAAATAGAAGACCATGGTTGTTCTGGAATGGATAATGGCTGAAAAAGTTTGTAAGGTCAATGACGAGGAGTTTTTGATCTCGAGCAAACATCACAAGATTATACAAAATCTTTGACAACTTTCCACATTTTTAGCCACCAAAAGTCTCTAGATATTAATTCCAAAGTTTTATTGTACCCAAAATGTCCAGCTGCTGGAAAGTCATGATGAGCTTGAAGAACACATAATCGAGCT